CACATGACAGACAAAAAAAGATAGCAGTAGGTCACCCGATTGATTCGGGTGACCTAAAAATCTTCTCAATAACATCAGAGCCATTAATAGCCATACTTCATCCTCAGGTAGTGCATAGTAAAGTCTGTGGAAACCATGGCCCCTTGACATAAGTTGGACCCAGAGTAGGAGATTAGAATTTTAATTGGGAATATAAAGGAAAAAATCTTCCTTTCAGGAGCAGCAGCACAATGACCATTTCAGGTAATCATCTCCATGCAGTGCATATTTTATGGTAAGTGAGGCTATAAGGGATCAGAATTTAACCAAGGAACATTTAGGAAAACAAGCTAATTCAAAAATTTGTGTCCCCGCTTAAGGAAAAAAAGAAGAGGGTGGAAGACCTAAAAAAAAAAAAAATAATAATAATCATACGGGAAAAGAAAAAAAGTTCACCTTGACCTTTCAGCTTTTGGTCTAAAAGTCAATAGAAGTCTTTTTAAACTCAAAGAAATTCATGAACAAAAAGCTCACAGAAAAACTAAAATAATAATATGAAAACTATATATATGCAATATATATTTCTGACCTTGACCTTTAACCTTAAAATCAATAGGGATCTTGTTTAGGCCACAGGGAGTTGTGCTCTAAAATTTCATTGCAAAAGCTCAAAGATTTCCCGAGATATAGTCTGGAAACGAAAGTGTTTACTCACAGAATGTATGAATTTATTACCTTGACCTCTGACCCTTTGACCTCGAAATCAACAGGGTTCTTCTTTATGCCAAGGGAGTAGTGATATTAAATTTTATTGAAGAAAGCTCGAAGAAAAATTAAGTTATCATCTGGAAAAGGTTATTTGCAATGTATGAATATATAACCTTGACCTTCTGACCACAAAATCAAAAGAGTTTTTAAGCCATAGGGAGTTGTGATGTATAATTTCAATGCAAAAACTCAAAGACTTTGTAAGTTATCATCCAGAAACAAGTGTTACACGCAGACTGTATTAATTTCTGATCTTGACCTTTGGACCTCAAATTCAAAAGGGATCTTCTATAGGCCATAGGGAGTTGTGGTCTAAAAATTCACTGCTAAAGCTCATAGATTTCTTGAGAATTAATCTGGAAACAGTTTTATACACATAATATATGAATTTCTGACCTTGACCTTAAAATCAATAGGGGTCTTCTTTAGGCCATAGGGAGTTGTAGTATAAAATTTCATTTCAAAAGCTTAAAGCTTTCTTGAGATACAAGTGTTACACACAGACAGATGGATGGATGAACGGACAGACTCACTTTCAGTGAAAGCAGGGAACAAAACTCCCTTTCAAGATTCACAAGAACAGTTGGGGCACAATTTAAATCATGATTATGCAAGCATTCCCAATGTGCAGATTCATTTTCATGGCCATGGAGCACAGGCATGTCACTATAACTAAAGTTTACACCCTATACTATAACATGAGGTATCTGATGCCAAATAAACAAGAGGCCCAAGAGCCTTGAATCGCTCTTCTGATAAACTGTACAACCTATCACTTCTATTTGAAGCCTCTAAGTATCCTGTATATTTAGATAAACCCTTGAAATTCCAATTCACATTCTGAGAACCCAAGATGATTCTAAGCCAACTAGTACCTGAGAGTTGGTCAGGTGACCTACTTATCACTTGTGTCATTCTCTGAGGACCCATCAACTAAGTTTGATGACTCTAAGCCAATTAATACCTAAAATATTTTTTTTAAAATTATAATCATAAAATTTTATAAGTAGGTCAAAGTGACCTACTTTTCAGTTGTTGTACTCCAAGAACCCAAGATGCATCAACTGACAAAATTTGATGATTCTAAGCCAATTAGTACCCAAAATATTTCATTAAAGCCACAAATTTTCAAAAGTAGGTCACGGCGACCTACTTTTCAGTCAACCTACTCCCAGGAACCAAGATGCATCAACTGACAAATTTTGATGATTCTAAGCCAAATAGTACCCCAAAAATATTAAATACAGCCATAAAATTTTAAGAATAGGTCACCATGACCTACTTTTCAGTTGTCGTACTCCAAGGACCCAAGATGCATCAACTGACAAAGTTTGATGATTCTAAGCCAATCAGTACCCGAAATATTTCATTAAAGCCATATATTTTCAAAAGTAGGTCATGGTGACCTATTTTCAGTCGACCTACTCCAAGGACCCAAGATGCATCAACTGACAAAGTTTGATGATTCTAAGCCAATTAGTACCCGAAATATTTCATTAAAGCCATAAATTTTCAAAAGTAGGTCATGGTGACCTATTTTCAGTCGACCTACTCCAAAGACCCAAGATGCATCAACTGACAAAGTTTTATGATCATAGGCTTTAAAATATCCAAATTATGCCTCTAAAACGCTTCGAAATCCAATGCCTGCAAAGTTCAAAAAGTAGGTCACTGTGACCTACTTTTTAATAAATATGTTTAATGGCCCTAAGATGCATCATCTTACAAGATTTAATGATTCTAAACCTCTGCGTATTCGAATAAATGACTTTAATTGTTTTGAGAAAAATTAGCTGTAAAATTCAAAAAGTAAGTTAAGGTGACCTACTTTTTAATTGACGTACTCCAAGGACCCAAGATGCATCAACTGACAAAGTTTGATGATTCTAAGCCAATATTGGCTTGAAATATTTTATTAAAGCCATAATTTTCAAAAGTAGGTCACGGTGACCTACTTTTCAGTTGTTGTACTCCAAGGACCCAAGATGCATCAACTGACAAAGTTTGATGATTCTAAGCCAATTAGTACCCGAAATATTTAATTAAAGCCATAAATTTTCAAAAGTAGGTCAGACCTATTTTTTAGTCGACCTACTCCGAAGACCCAAGATGCATCAACTGACAAAGTTTGATGATTCTAAGCCAATTAGTACCTGAAATATTTAATTAAAGCCATAAATTTTCAAAAGTAGGTCACAGTGACCTACTTTTCAGTTGTCGTTTTTTAAGGACCCAATATGCATCAACTTACAAAGTTTAATGATCATAGGCTTTAAAATGTCCATATTATGCCTCTAAAACGCTTTGAAATCGAATGCCTGCAAAGTTCAAAAAGTAGGTCACTGTGACCTACTTTTTAATAAATATGTTTTATGGCCCCAAGATGCATCATCTTACAAGATTTAATGATTCAAAACCTCTTGGTATTCGAATTAATGACCTTAATTGTTTTGAAAAAGATTAGCCATAAAATTCAAAAAGTAGGTCAAGGTGACCTACTTTTAAGTTGACGCACTTCGAGGACCCAAGATGCATCAACTGACAAAGTTTGATGATCATAGGCCTTAAATTGTTTAAAATATGCCTCTAAATCATTTTGAAAAAGAATGGCCACAAAATTTAAAAAGTAGGTCACCGTGACCTACTTTTGAGTCAACATGATATGAGGTCCTTAGATGCATCAACTGACAAGACTTGATGATCCTAGTCCTTATAGTAAGCAAAATATCAACATTTTAATAAAATGTACTTTTTGGTCAACTTTGAAGTGACCTTGAGACCATGCCCTTTGCCCCAGGGTAAATCCCCGTGCAAATTTTAATCTACAACATATCCTCATCCTTTTGTGTAAGTTTGGTGATAATCTGCCCAGTGGTTCTTGAGAAGAAGATTTTTTAGCAACCAGTACTTTTGTTTCTATTTTCCTAATTATCTCCCCTTGTTAAAGGGTCACAACCCTAGTTTTAGTATAAAAGGGAGCCCTTGGGCCAAGGATACCCTGTGACAAATTTGACAATAATTGGCCAAGGGGTTCTTGAGTTAAGGCCCACATTCTAAAAAGTTTACGCACACCACACAAATGGCCATAGCATTAGCTCTTTGAGCCTTGGCTCAGAAGAGCCAACAAGAAATACAAAACCTACTCAGCATTTTGTACAATTTCGTTTCCAGTGACTGTATAATGAGGAAAATGTTTACTACCATTAAAATTCTCTTCAGGACTAATTAATCTTCAAAATCATATGACACAATTGTTTTTATTGCCTTCTATCCATATTATCAGCAACAAAACATTGCTCTTGACTCAAATTGTTTCACATCATGTAACACTACTACGTACCAAATTTTACTCCACACTCAATTGTAACCACTGTGCAAACATTCCCAATTAATGTGGTTTCAAATTTGTGCCAATTAGAGATGCTGGACATAGGGTGGGCTAAAATTAAGAATCAAATTTTACATTAAATGTGTAATTAGGAGAAGTCTTTAAACATCTCCTCCAGAACAGCAAGGCTGTGTTATTCAAACTGATACTTATAATTCCCCATGTAGTGGGGATTCAAATTTCTTTTGTTATGACCCTTTGGGGCTAGGATAAGACCACAATATTGGGTCAAATTTTATTTATGGAAAAATAGAGGAAAATAATCTTTCAAAATTTCATCAGAACAGTAGGTCCAAGGCAACTATTGTGAGCATTGTGGTCTGTGGGCCTCTTGTTTAAATTGTAGAACACATGTACCAGATGTCCAGTTTTTTAAAATTGTGCTTCGTATGTTTTTTTATATTGAGGTACACGTTTCAAGCTTTCAATTTTTAGTTAAAATGTTCCATACAATATTGAGCTTACAATTCTTTAAAATTCAATCACACATTTGAACAAGTCTTCCCTCAGAAGAATTCAACAGAAAACTTGTATGTTCAAATGCAGATCTACATAACACACTCTATTTGTACACTTCAATATCTGAGAATGCCCAAATGTACATATAAATCATGTAATTTTTGTCTTATGAATGTGAAATAAAATCAACAAACTTCATATAAAATAAAAGCTATTTTAATTAACAGCTTTCAACATAGTTGAAAATTTCTAAGTAAAATGAAGAAATTATGATAAGATGAATTTATGAACCAATGAAAAAAACACCTAACTCAAATATATAAGCATCATACAATTCTTGTACTCTTGCTTTTAAAAATTTTTCAGAGCTGCTCATTATATGTCATATTTTCATGCATAGACATAATTCCAAATTACAACAAATTCAGATTTTTCTCCCTTAATATTTCCAGCTGACCAATATACAAAACAGAATCTGAAAACTCTAAAAATCAGTAATAGTATGGTCTTCTGTGATCATTATATTGATCATAATAGTGTCTAGGGGGAGGGGGTCCTGGCCTTTCCCTATAAGGGGGCTCCCTCCAAGCTGAGTCCCGCCCCCCTCTGTAAGGACCAGGGTGTCTGTATTGTGGTCCAGGAGGCCCCCTACCACCCCTAAATGGTGGTCCATAGTCATCTCTAAAGCCACCATTATCTTGCCTTTCAGGTCTCTCATAATTATCATGCCTCTCATAATTGTCTTCATATCTATAGTCTTTGTGCACTGATGGCTTCTCTGGCAAGCGAATGTCATCATGTTTTACCTGGTAACGACGTTCCACTCTCACAGTTTCTATTTTCGATATACTTTGTTCCTCTTCCATTTGGTCACCTGTGTTGGATCTAGGGAAAGAGTTATTATTTTCTGAATAGTCCATCACTGGGACATTGGAGACATTAGACTTGGCTTGGGCTTTATCAACATTCTCCTCCATGACTGGGGGAGACACAAGATTACTGCCTGCACCCCCTGTAGTCTTCTTCTTAAGTTTTTCCAAAAACTCTCTGTGATCATCAGGCGCACTGTTGGCAGTTTTTTCCTTAGCTGCTGGTTTGGGTTTACCTTCTGTGGGTGAAGGGGGTTCCCCAGGGGGTACTGGGAGGGAATTGTCCTCCAAGGATTCACTAGGAGTTATCGGCACCTCTTTAAGACTAGACTTCCTGTTCCGTAAAATTCCCTTTGGTGGTGGAGGAAGTGAGGACACATTTGCAGATGATTCATCTTCTGTGGGAGTAGCCTCCTTCTTCTGGTCCCAAGGCTGATTCCAGGACCCCTCATCCTGGTTGCCCCATTTCTGCTCAGGCTTGTTTACTGGGGGGTTCCAATTGCTTCCAGGTGGAGGTCCCGCTCCTGGCTGATTCCAAACTTGGCCGGAATGATTCTGGGGTCCAGATGGAGGGTTCCATCCTGGTGATGTACTGCCTGAACTTGGAGCACTTGGTGGATTCCATGTTGGAGAAACCCTGTCCCCCTGACCCACTTGAAATCCTCCCCCAGAAAAGTTGGGCTGTGTAGGAAATGGTTGAGGGGGAATAGGGGGTCGAGGGTTCCAAGCCTCTGGGCTGGATGCTTGCTGAGGAATGAAATTAGGCCTAGGGACCTGAAGAGGGGGTGGTCTAACCACACCCAAAGGAGGAGAAATTATTGGAGGGGAAACAATGGTGGGGGCAGGTGCAGAAATTGGTTGTGGTGCTGATGACATAGAATTCATTTGTGAAAACATTGGTGGTGCCAGATGAGGTGGTGGATTAGCCTGTGGCACTCCTAGAGCAGGAGCTGCTGCCTGTGGCACCTCCTCTGGTTTCATCTGAGCCTTCCATTCTGCCCAAGAGTTGGGTGTCTCAGAAGCAGGGGGTTGAAGAGGTGCCTGAGGTTGTTTAACGACATCTCTGTTGTGTTGAAACTGGGATTTCACTGTGTTCGTGAGCAGAGAAAGATTTTGAAGAAAATTAGAACTTGGAGTGGAGGCTTTAGGAGTTTTTGACAGAATCTGAGTGAGAAAATCAATAGGATTCTGATGTGATCTAGGGGGTGAGTCCTCCTTTTCATCCATGACTGGGGTTGAACTGCCTTCATCTTTTGTGGGGGTACCTCCCTCTTGTTGTAGCACCTTGATGACTGTTGGTTTTGGGGGGATGTAGACAGGAGGGTTATCTGCAGATGGTGGCAGTTGAGATCGAGGATCCACATTGTGGTGAATACTGCCTGTTTGGACTGCTGGAGTGTGCTGGACACTGCCTGTTGGGAGCGATGGTATCATTGTGGCTATTCGTGACTCTAGCGCATTCGGTCCAGCTGGAAGGATAGAAATTAATATTTAAAATTTTTTTCCAATCACTATAGCTCAACAATAATACCCAGATTCTGTGTTCACATAAACTTACCAACATATTTTGGTTTGGAGGACATCTGTTCCTCAGGATCATACACCTCAGTTTCAGATGAACCCATATTGTTACTGATGCTGGCAGACTGCTGTGCAGCTGGAAAAAGAAAAGTTTTGTATAAAACTTGATAGTGCATCCTACAGTGGTTACTTCCCTTTATAGCTAACATCATATAGAATGCAGATACATGCTGAAATAAATTTCAATTGAAGCAGGGTATCATCAATGTATAACAACCTTTACATATCAATATCTGAAGAATGAAAATAATGTGGTTACCATGGATAAAGACTACAAATCTTGAGACATCTTAGAGCCACCTCCAGATCCCAGTATATTTTAAATCACTCAAAAATTATACATTTCTCTTCAAGCCTTCTTTAATAAGTTTCATCAGATACTGTAAATGTATTACATTTGGCTGTGTATTCTATTTAGTGCCTTTCGCGGAAAGCATCTTCTGCTAAATCAAGTACATCGCTAAATGTCTTGTTTACATATATTCATATAAAGCACATTCAGAAAGCGCTAACTCAAATCTACGCTAACTTGTTAAAAAATCAATTTCCGCCAAATATCGTACATGCCAAATAAAATACATTTACAGTACTCTCCTCCAGAATTTCTCTCGGTGTTTTCAAAACTCTTACGTGATGATAGGAAATTCTCTAGACATGAAGATGTTGTCAATTTCAAAAAAGTCTTTAAAATCTGTAAATAATCCGATATGTGACCATTCTTACCTAGAATAGTGCTAGCTGCTGGGTTATCATCATCATCTAGATCCATGTCCACAGCCTCTGTGTTGTCAATCTCCTCCAGAGGAGGGGTGTTGCCTGGAGACGGGGCATCATATGAGGGGGAGGGGACAGGGCTAGGTAGAGACTTCATCAAATCCTCCAACTTCTTACGAAGATTATTGATTCTGGTTCCAAAGTTCTTGTAAGCCTAAAATAGAATTTATAAAATTACAGTAGAATGAAAAGAGACTCAGCATTGAAAATATGTACTGTAAACCAATTATTATTCGCGTCATCTTTTATTCGCAATTCGTCAGTTTGAAATCAATCCACGATGATTAATTTTTGCGACTGAGGAAACATTCTCCATAAATACAAAGCAAAATAAATCGTTCGCGGCAATTAATATTCCCAAGTTAAAGTAGGTAGCGAGACTTGCGAATATTTCTCGCACACAAATAAAAGTTGGTTTACAGTATTTTTAATTTGAATTTCTAGTAAAGTTGAATAAGAAAGTATGATAGGACCATTTCTGTAGATCATAAGTTCTAGGATTTTATCCCTTGTATTACCGTGGAATCATCAAATTTCATGGGAGCCAATTTTCGTAGATTTCTTAAATTTTTGTTGGGACTTGATTTTGTGCATTCACTCATATCTACAAAAGGAAATATGACTTTGCAACCCTAGCATATTAATTTGTGGAGGACGTAAGGATACCCAAATTCCATGAACATTGAGCCACCAGGAAATCTAATGATTCCATAGTAATTGTATGTGTAACAGGTTCAAATCCTGGTCATGGCACCAAATCTGTAACAGGAAAGGAGAAAATGCATGGCTGAACTGGGAATTGAACCCAGGACCCCTGCATCACTAGTCAGGTGCTCTACCGACTGAGCTACCCAGGCTGATATCCACGGCCCAAACCATTACATATGCAATATTTAAATGGAAAACAGGCACACCAATCTTTTCTAACATTTATATTAATTTAAAAAACTTTGAGTAAATCATTGTCCTGTCAGCTTGTGGATTTTACAGGATTTGTGTCCCCTTGAATCTATGAATGCTTCCAGCAGTAATTTTAGGGTTACACTATGCTTAAAAGATTTCATTTGCAAAATTATCAAAATGATATCTGCAAAATACTCGGAGATGCAGGACAAAATAATTCTGAGACTCACATTAGCCACGATCCTAGCCTCCCGATACTGCTCGTCGTAGAACACTTGACTCTGTTCTAGAAGCTCAATCATCACCTTCTGTTCCTGGATCTGCTGCTCAGCACTCGAGACGTAATTCTCCAGCTTAGAACAAGAGTCCTCAAACTGCTGACTGAACTGTTTCCCGTGGGCTCGATCTGTTTACAGAGAAAAGAAATGTACAACGTATGCAAAGAGTGTATTATATACATCCTTCCAACACTCTATTGGTAAACAACATGTCTTTATAAATATAAACATATCTTAAATAATGTACCACTCCAGTCCATAATTTAGGGTTGAGCAAGATTTTTTTTAATTCAGTTTTATATGCTAATCTTATACATTGAACAGCAATAGCATATCAGAGGTGAAATGATATGCCTCCTTCACAATACATATAATTTCATCTCGGTACAGTTATTTTCGATACAATACATTTTGATAGAAGGAAACATTCAACATTGTTTTATGTTTTGTTTCACTAAATCCAGTCACTTAATCTTTGTGCAACTTGGCTAGAAGAAATTAATTTGAATGAACTGACTGTTAAAGATTATTTTGCAAGCTATCAGATCAGTCCTCAAAAATTTGTTTTTAAAAATTGATTATGCTGAGTAGTGTGTTTTTACCCATGCAAAACCTGATTGAAATGATCCCAACTGTAAAATGAATCAAACTGTAAATGAAGTTGCACCATGTATCAAACCAAGAGAAAAATATTGTGGTGAATCATTTCACCCCTTTAGCACATCCTACAAAATACCCTATGAAGATGAACTATTATTATCTTTTAATTCGTATAACTGTCAATAATTTTGGAATTCTCATAAGCTTTGTAAATATATTTTTGCAAAACATGGACATCCCAGAGTGGAAACATGATAACTATCAAACCTTTATCATTCTAGAAGTTGTAAAGACAGACCGTTTCAAAATCCCCTTATCAATAAAAAACAAATGAACATCAATTTCATTTACACTCAATTTTCAATATATTTCTACACCTGAGGTAATAAACTTGGTTTTCCTTTGATATCTCACATGATAAATGTCTCCACCTACCTTTGAGCTGTGACACTGCTTCTACACTGGAGGCGTCCAGCTTGAGACTTGAGATCTGTTTGAATTTGAGTTCCACTTCTCCCTCCAGCCTTTTGTAGCTATTAATTTTATCAATCAGCATCTGGGGCTATAACACAGGGAACAATAATTAACATTCTCTGATGACATCATACGACTTACATACTTCTTGACTTAAAAATGTATCAAAATTTGCAAGAAAACAATGTCAATCTGAATAGAAATTGCATTCTAAATTGAATACTATATTCCTATATTATTCCATATAAAGGGAAGTATACTAATCTATATTGCAATATATGGGGAAAAGTGAGGGGGAGGGGGGTTCAAACCTTGAATTCTGCCAGTATCTTTTCCTCATCTTTTATTTTTGTTGTTGGTTTGTATGCTTGTGTGGGAGTAGCTGGGGTGGATCCTGCTGGAGTGGCTGGGCTGACAGCATTATTTCCAACTGGAGTAGGGGCCGGAGAATCTGTCAAAAATCATCAGTATTAAACAACCCAAGGCACAGACAGATTTCCTGACTTCAAAAATTTTCCAAACTGTATATTACTTATCCATGTTATCCATGTTATAAATACATATATTTCTGAATCAAATAAAATAAATACTGTAGATCACTTTTTATTCGCAAGAACTTTATTTTTGTGTTATTATGCAAGACCGTCTGCTCACGAAAAATTAATTCTTGCATATATTTGTAGTACAAAAGCTTATATAGAACAATAACCAGAGATCGTGAAAATTATGTCTCACTTATAAATTCTTGTGAAATTAAAGTGTTGCTAAAATTTGGTGATCTACAGTACCACAGAATGATTAAATCTTTTTAAAAATTGTAACTGGATAAAAAAATTTATCATGAAATACTTGTACCTTTCATTAACATTTCTGTCAGCTCGTCTAAGTAACCCTTTGGAAAGATACTTCTTTCTCCCCATATTTTCAATATCCTGCCTATATTTGGCTGGATTGACTTGTCACTAAAACAATAAAAAATTCATTTAGATATGTTTATATATTGATATACTTGTATCTAAATATTAAACAATTTTCTTCACCCATACACATCTTTACACATGATGGTGGACTATTATGTACTTTTGTACTAATTAAATCTAAATGGAATTACATTGAGAAGGTATCATAGACTGTATGTGAAACTAGATGGAATTAAATTGACAAAGTTACATTTTATGAGAAACAAATGCACTGACTGATGGAGAAAAGACAGGCAGACCAGGAAAGAAAAGGTTATTAAACATGTGTTACTCAGTTTGTTAGCACACATTGTTTAAGTTATGAGACCTATCAGATCTTTCAAACAAAAATAATTCAATGCTTACATATATTATAGAGAGATGAAAAACAGATATTCAAGGAACATGTTGACAGACCTTAAGCAAAATATCATATTTAAAATGGTTTAGATTCAGCCTTAATAAATTAAATACAAGATTTCATAACTGAAATACTGTATACATGCAGGGTTATTTTTGATCTGTCTTATTTTCACCCTTTCACACTTGCAAACAATTTTGCCCCATTTAAATTCTCCCAGTCACAATTCTGTTTAACAAATTATAGTTTTTAAATTTGCCCCATTTTAAATTTGCCCACTTGTGTGGTAGGGCAAAAGGGGTGAAAATAAAATGGGGCGAAAATTTCCCTGTATATAGTATATCTATTTTAAGTATTTAATGTCCAATATTAACAAATCTCAATTCCCTTCACCCTAGGATGCTTTATGGTAAGTTTTGTTGAAAGTGGTCTAGTGGTTCTACAGAAGTCAACAATGTGTGGAACACTGATGCCCCCGTATGACCTGGCCAAGGTTAAAAATTATCAAATGCAAGTCAAACTCCGAGGTCAAGAGGTAAAAAATATTGGTACCCTAAGAAAGGTCTAGTGACAAGGAATAAATGCTCGAAATAAGAAAACCCTAGCTCTAACTCTGGTCCTAAGGTTCAAGTTTTTGCAGACAAACAGATGAACGGACAAATTGACAGACAGACAAACTGCATGCCCCCATATCTTCGATTACAGGAACATGAAAATGTGAATGACTAAAACATATACATGCATCACTACACATCATAGAAGTAACTCTGAAAATTGAATTACCGAGAGTATGCGATAGCTTCTGTCAGTACTGTCTTAAAGCTCTCTATGTAGATACCAGCCCTCTTTCTTTTCCCATTCTGACAAACGTCATTACACAGGTTGAACAATACCAGCTTCTGCTTGGATGGAACTAGAAAAGATGGCATTTTGAATTTATAAAAAGCCAAGTAAAACTTAAGAATAGAGGACTTTGGACAGAATTCTGTTCATTGATGAAGCATAATGGTGGTCAAAACATCAAGGCAAGTTTTGAAGAAAGTTCAAGGGAACATGGTCCCACAAAATTTATATGAGGGCCTTTTCTTACACTCCTGTACAGAAATTTAATGACACATGACAATACTCATTAATTTTAAAAAGTTTATAAATAATGGTAAACAACATTTCTTATTATTTCATTTTTTGAGATTTTTATTATAACCTACAATTTATGATTTTTTACTATGTTTCCTATATATACTACTCAACAGCAGATTTCTCCATGTGAGACTGAGACTGACACAGCATGTGCATATACTAGGAACAATTGCATTTATGGATGCTACTGCTAGCTGCAAATTTTTAGAGGAAAATAACAGAGCATATGCAAATTTACAATGTACAGTCAGTGGTCATTCTACCTACACATTATTATTATCCTCACTTGCTTAATCAGTTAATTGCATTAAGAGCCTCAAATTAGTTTTAAAGCCTTTGAGGGCACTTTATAACGATTGCTGAATTATCATATTTACATATCAATTAGTGCAAAAGGTACATTTTTAATAAAAATTATAAATATATACTTAAAATGTAAATTGTAAGTTTCATATACATATTATGCAGCACATAACACTTCTTTTGGGGCGAATGTTCTCAGAGCTAATTGTCAATACTTTCCATTACCGTTTGAAAAGGAAATGTTTATTTGATGGTATTAAGTAAGTAATACAACTCTGCTTCTTTGCACCATCAAACATATTAGCACACAGATTAACAAGACGTATCTACTCCTGTTTACTTTTGTTACGTTGCAGGTGGTCTGACAGGCTTCAAATTTTATGTTTAAGTTTAATCAAATTTTAAATACATTGTACAATATTATTTCAATTCCTTGAAATGACTTAATGACTTTGAAATTCATATTGAAAGAACGTTCTATCGTTAAATTGATATTGTCCTACAGACCAAGTTTAACGATGGAACTCCTTCCATGTATTGGCAGTGTAGCAAAATTAACGTGGGTGATAACTCAAACTCTGTGCATTTTCTATGAATAATCCAGAGAGTTCCAATTGTCAACATGGTTTGTAAATTTGAAGCAATGAGAAAACGTTGAGAAAATGAGTTGAATTTTAGCATTTATATGGATTGTTTTTTAAGGTTGAAAAACCTATACAATCACAAAAAGGTTTGTTATGATTAATTTGGTAGTATTTCCAGTGCAACTCCTTTTGTATTCTTCAAAATAATTTCCGAGTGGATCCGCTCTGATTTGCTACATTGCAAGTATATGGGACGTATTCTAACTGTGGTGAGGGCATGTCCCAAGACACATTTAGCTTATTCGAACTAAAATTCATACCCCTATGGCAATATTTTAGCAAGAAACTTCTATGTTGCACAGAACACTGATTCTTGTGACTTAAAAACCTTTATATCATTCTTTAAAGAAACAGAGTGCATATACTTTCAGTTTCACTTCTTACCTTTCTTAAAGGTGTTCAGCCAGACATCCACTACACGTTTGTGATGGGATTTGTGGTGTATCAACCAAAGCGACAAGCTTTGAATACTGTCTTGTGTATTAGATACATTTAGCATCTTCTTTTCTAAATTTTCGTCACTCATTTTATGAGACGGCGACGCCATGTTTTACAGATTGATAAATAAACCTAACTCTAGAAGCGAAGTTTAAAAGTCATTCATCAATGTCCATTAAAATGCATTGCAAATTATTGAAATTAATATCCTAAATTTAAGTTGTCAACATTGCTTTAAACAAAAATGATTCCTGGCACAAGAAACGCAGCAAAAGTGTAACTTGCTCCTGGACTTGTGGTATTCAACCATATTGGAAATTAGGATTTAACTAATTGACGAAACAAAATTGTTTATATCAAATCTCGATCCCGATCATTATGGAAAAACTAATATGTGTTTTAAATAAATAATTATTCATTTAAATATAGTATCCATAAATAAGAAAGTCATATAAATCTATTTTGGGGATTTATTTCTCCCATTCAAATACGATTTTACAAACTTAAGGATTATGGACCGTTTACCGGAAAAAGAGCAGTGGAAACATATCAAGATGAAGAGCTGTCTGCGGGCAGAATCAACATAAGGTAACAAAATCCTTTTATTTATTTTAGTTTTTGAATGTAACTTATTTTGACACTGATAGCCAATTGATAAAGTGGAGGAGGGGTCATCAAATTAAAAAAAAATAATAAAGTTTTTTGACAGCAACATGCTTAATAATAAACATATAAGATAAAACATATTATTTTTACTGTGTAATTCAATAAATCTGATTGGTCTGCTTGCTATCACGTGTAAAATTATATTTTACGATATTGACTTGAGTTACTGAAAATAAAACAGATGTGTTTATAAATGGTGAAAAGTGTTTAAAACTTCACAAAATCCTATATAATGAATTTTTTGTCTCTTTCTTTTCCACAGAAAATAATATAACAAATGTAGCCCTTTGATTCGGCCAATCCATAGGTATATCGACTTCACATAAAAGCATATGTCGACTTTGCACTTCATAAAAGGTAGGGATGGGTATTGGAAAAAATTTCGCATCGTGATATATCCCGATTTTCCCCCAAAAATATCACGATAAATCGTGATATTTTAACACACAATTTTTACTACAATTTCAAGTAAATTTCCATAATATTTCTTAAAAATTATGCTATAAAAACATAACTTTACTTTTAAATTTTCATTTATTTAATATAAAGCATATTTTGATGCCGTTGTTTACCTGTTTTCAACCTTTTTTACACTTCCTATAATTGTCATTCAATAGTTTGAACAAATAAATGAATAATTTCCAGAATTTATAGTTATGTACCAAATACCGGTATTTTAGTCTCCGTAACACGATACGTATCACGCTATAAAAAATCGCGATATACCGATAAAATCGCGCATTACTAATAAAAGGGCTATATTTGTATATTAAAGGGAAATGGAGGGGTCCAAATGTTCTAAGTTATCCGACTAAAAAGAAAAAGACAATAATATTAATAGCAGCAGCTAACAGAGCTAGTTGGATCTTAAGTTTGTTGGATTCTTCGTTAAAGTCTATAACTTCTGAACGAATAGAAAGATGATCTTGACTTTTGACCTTGAAAGTTGGTCAAGGTCAATATCTATGTAAGCTTATAGAAATATTGTTGATGGCAATGATTTGAGTACTTGACCTTTATATTCTGTGACCTTCAAGTTACATTGAACCTTCAAGTCTATCAGCTTTGATTTTATTCCCCTCATGGTTAGTTGTTATATACTGAGTATATGTGCATCAACTTTCACCCCCACCTCCCTTTCTCACAGCAAAATAATTTTCAATTTCAACCCAAATCTCTTAAGGGGAACTGAATTAAGTCAGGATCTCAAAGAAGGCTGGAAAGCTTGATTGTTATAATTAACTGATTCATGTACCTATAAATTATAACTTTGGTAGCGGTTGAAAAAAACGGAAAAAACAAGATAAACTTTTTATAAAGAATTTCTTCAGGGGTGTCTTCCCGGCATTTAGCGAAAAATCTGAAATTGTTACAGGTGACTGGTTTTGGCCTGGTGGGGATGGAGTACAGGTGAGGGGGGCATAGTTTTATAATTTTAAGCGTTTATTATAAGTACAAATATGTTCACTGAAAGGTTGTGTGGTCCTCGCCTTTTGTCACAGCATAGTCAAACTCCCTCATAGTAATGTACAAGTTTTTCTTGTGCAAAAAATTAAGTTTCCCCGCCCACAAAATAGGATCTTCGTGTTTGGGAAAAATCCCTCTATTTTTTTTTTTTAATTATTATTATTTGCTTTTCAAAAAAATACACTTTAGACTCAATCACAGGCACTTCGTTGACTTTACACTTTTTTCTTATTAAAAAAACCCCGGTCAATACATATTAAAATTAATAATAATAATTATTATTATTATTATTTTAAAAAATCTACATGCTATGATCGATGTTATAGTCATAAAAATGAGAAATAAATAACCGTTATGTTGCAAGAATGATTTAAAGAAAAAAACATTTTCAAGGAAATATATTGTGCAAAATATAAAATGTGTTGAATTAACTGTAAGTGTTACGGTGAAATCACACGTGTGAAATTACAACTCGATTCGTCAAGAAATCATAGTATTTTGAGTTTAGAAAAATTTTAGTCTTGATGATTTAATAATACCTGCCATCATTGTTATTTTCCTTTGCGTCCTAGGAAAAAGAAAAATTGATGAAATATTAGACTAAAATTGACCTCGGAATAAGTTTTTTTTTTTTTGTTTGTTTGTTTTTTTAAATAAAAATTGGTTTTTGAAATGAAATATATAGTGAAAAATGAAATTATGACTCACTTATTGCCTTTGAAACTTTGTTGAACTTTTTATTCACGCAAGGCCTCACATGAGGCATAAGACATGTAAAAGTACCCATAGACTGTATCTTATACGTCAAATAGCTCACCGGAAGTTACGTTACTTAACCTGGTGACCGGAATATTTTGCTCCCCATTCATAAGTGTGTGTAAAGTCAGTGAAGCGTTGATCGTCCGAGAATATGTTTCAAAAGTGGTACACTCTCGGTGTAACCTGGTCAGGGGTGACACAGGATCGACCAAAGGTTACAGTGTCCACTCAGAGCGATGAAAAGGCGCAAAAAGAGTCGTAGAAAAAATATACACAAGACGAGCACGTTGTTAACTTTGTTTACTTGCGCATGCAAAACTTACGTTTTCGAGCTCTCCCACGGGTAACATGTTTTGTGAAATTATAATCCCCTTGTTAACTGTAGTGAAGCCACATCGAGTTGAAGACTCACAGGATTAAACATTCAATGGTTCACAGAGGTTTACGATGGCGAGAAGATATGGATGTAGGTGGAAATTTCAGAAGTTAGCCGGTTTGGTTTTGGGAATTTGTTTTGGTGTATTATTATCTTCTTGGTGTCGTCATACTTTACTTCCATGCGGATCTCAGAAAGACCGTTGCTGTATCCACATCAACTATCATGTTAATATCGCTGTTGAACACTTGCATGTAACTGACCAACTGCCTCAAAAGACACTGCCAGTATCTGAAACCAAGGAATTCCGACTCAACAGGTACATTAAACCAGATGAAAGAGGATTCTTATTAATTGGTGTCATAACAGCAAAAAAGTTCCTAGACACTCGTGCTGTTGCTGCATTTGATACCTGGACAAGCACCTGTCAAGGTGTATGTAAGGTATTGTTTTTCTCCAGTGAGGGATCTTCATCACATAAAATCCCTGTCATCAGCATTGATGGCGTAGACGACTCCTACCCACCCCAGAGAAAATCCCTCCTCATGTTAAAATACATGCATGACAATTACATTAATAACTTTGAGTGGTTTATGAGGGCGGATGATGATGTTTTCATCAAAGGAGATCGTATTGAAAAATTATTGCGCTCCATCAATAGTTCAATACCTCAGTACATTGGACAAGCAGGAATTGGGAAGAAAGAAGAGTTGGGGAAACTGTACCTGAAAAAAAATGAGAACTTTTGTATGGGAGGTCCTGGGGTCGTATTCAGTCATATGACCCTGAGGATGTTTGCCCCACATGTGGGGGAGTGTCTGCAGAATCTCCTGACCACCCATGAGGATGTAGAAGTGGGGCGCTGTGTCAGGGACCATACAGGTGTGTCCTGTACCTGGGCCTTTGAGGTAAAGTCTGAATTTCAGATAGATTTTTCATGTTCACATGTATTAACATTGTACATACAAATTCTGCTTGATCTTTTAACAAAGATGAGATGACAATATAAGAAAATAAGAGAATGGTTTTACTCATATTATTATTGAAAGCTATTTTATTTTGCTGAATTAGCAAAGCCTTCATGTAATTTTTTACAAGGCTGTGAAATTGATATAGCCTTTATTTTATTTACAAGGCCATTCTTATTCAATCACTTTTCAAAGAGAATAAGACAGAACAGTACAATTATCTACTATATAAACTAAGTTTATACATGTAATGTATGTTTCACCAAAATTATTATTATGAATGAAACAATATTTAAACATACTATAAAATGTATGGATGTTAAAAATAGAACAGAATCATGACAGCAGTGCAACAGTTTGTCCTTGCTGTCAAGTATTACACAGAAGCAGATTTTACTTTTAATTATAGCTATTTAATTTTTTTATATTTCATTTTGTCTTGTCAGCTTGTCAAAAGCTGGGGCTTAATAATTGTGAAGCTATGACAGTGCATTGCCAGGCAGTATTATGCACAATTTGATATTTGTATTTACTGGTGATTATCAGTAAATTTTAATCAAATTTTGTATTGCATATACACACGGTATATACCGGGGTATGTATCTCATTATCGAAAATGCTTGATAGATTTTGTAATTTTTTAAACTACAGGTTTATTGAACTCGTAAGTCATTCACGATTCAGTATTAAAATAGGACCCTTAAAATCATAATGGTCATTATGAGAGCATGGCCACCTTTTTATTCAACATTCCAAGTGTATCAGCTTTCAGGGGGTGAGCATGTTTTTTTTAGAATCAATGATGAAAGACAAATAGCTATGTATTTTGCATATTTCAGACCTGGTTAGATTTTGTAAGAATAGGACCTATTGTCTGGGGTTCATGACATCTATAAAGTGACAAAGGACAAAATAGAAGGCATTATTATGAGTATTTATGTCTGCTGCTGGGTATGATTACAGTGTATTGTCCGGTGGATGGGGGTAAACAGGGTATAGGGATAAAGCAGTGGGTTCCAAACAGGTATATAAGCTGCTGTAAAAAGACCCGATTTCCGGAGGGCAGTGGTACAAAAACT